CCCTACAACCCTAACCCCTAAACCCTAAACCTCCAAACCCTAAAACCCCTAACCCTTAAACCCTACGTCCCCCAAAAACGGGAAAAACACCCTGAAGTCGCCTTCCAGTCTCAACGAACTCCTGGGCTTCGAAGGAATCGGGGAGAAAAAAAAGGACGGACGTATAATCTCATGATGGGGCTCCTTTAAGAAATGAAATCCCCCATTTAGGGTTTAGGGTTTAGAGTTTAGGGTTTAGGGGTTCAGCGTTTAGGGGTTCAGGGTTTAGGGGTCATGATGGGCTCCGTTAAGAAATGAAATCCCCCAAACAAAAGCATAGACTTCTATTTTCAGTATGGGCTCCTTTAAGAAATGAAATTCCGAAAAAAGTCTTTCATGATGATTCCTTTAAGAAGTAGGTCCCCCCAAAAAAAAGTAGAGACGTTTGATTTCATACTGGTTCCTTTAAGAAATATAGGTCCCCCCCCCCAAACAAAAAAGGTAATCAGAACCCAGCATCTTTCATGTAACTGCGGACGAAGTCGACGAGCTCCCTGGGGCCATCCTCCTTCTTCGAAAGAGAGTTTAGGGTTCAGGGTTTAGGTTCTTCGGTTTAGGTTTTTAGGGTGTAGGGTTTAGGGTTTAGGGTTTAGGTTTTGGCTTTAGGGTTCCGTGACTTCGGACTCAAAAAAGAAGTTGTCAGGTCGAACTTTACCTACTAGGGCTTAGGGTTTCTAGGGTTCAGCATGAAAGGTTTTGGGGTTGAGGGTTAAGGGTTTCTAGGGCTTTTGGGGTTTAGGGTTTAGGGTTTAGGGTTTAGGGTTTAGGGTTTAGGGTTTAGGGTTTGAGAGGTTGCGGGGTTTAGGGTTTAGGGGTAGGCTTAAGGTTATTGGGCTTAGGGTCTTCCGCGATATGATCCCCATCATCGGCAACCTGATCAACCCCATTTGAACTCAGTTGCTAAGGTTTAGGGTTTAGGGTTTAGGGTTTAGGGTTTAGGGTTTAGGGTTTAGGGTTTTCGTCCTTCTCCATAGCCAGGCTCACCTCACGAGCCCTCTCGCGAATGGCCGTTGTCTCCCTGCACTTGCAGATGGCCTGCGCAATCTCACCGGGTGTCAAGGAGGGCATGGCCTTCAGGCCCACCCCGATGCCACTTTTGTTAACCTGGGTTGCTCCTGCCCTTTACAACGGATCAGGGTTGGTGTTCCTTGCTACGGCTATAAGGCTATACCGTCCGAAATAAACAAAAACCGACGTTCAAGCACGGCCTAGTAACCATGTCTGCATGATCGAACTGGTCGAAGGCCAGTGGTAGGATGATTGTAGGTATGCCAGACCGCGCAGAGGCATTTGTGGTTCCGGCGCCTCCATGGTGAACGATGGCGCAGCAGCGTGGGAAGAGGACTCCGTGCGGCGCGTACTTCACGAAGAGCCTGGGTTCTTGCCAAAGGCACTGAGTTTTAGTCAGAATGCGGAGGAAAGCAGATGTTCAAAAACGGAAGTGTATGCCGTGGACAACTTACAGTGAGTTCCTTCATAAGAGCCCAGACGCACATGGTCCTTGCAGAAGTCTTTCAGCTCCTTCGCATCCTCTTCGCCCTCTACAAGGCTCAGGGACATCTCCTGAGCTCCACAGAAGCCCCTTTAGGGTTTAGGGTTTAGGGTTAAGCGTTTAGGGTTTAGGGTTTAGGGTTTAGGGTTCTTAACAATACTGTCATAATGAGGGTACCTTCCTCATGTTTGGCTTTTGATAAGGGAACCCTAAAAGACAAAGGGCCAAAGAGTACAAACTCCTATAGATCCCGTATAGACCCCTCTTAAGATTAAGGAACCCCAAAGGAAACAAAAGGCCAAAGAGTACTAACTCGTATAGGTCCCGTATAGACCCCTTCTAAGGAGCCCTTGGTGAAGGAACCCCAAAAAGACAAAGGGCCAAAACCCTAAACCCTAAACCCTAAACCCTAAACCCTAAACCCTAAACCAAAGAGTACTGCTGGGGAAGCTAGGCTCGGACCAGGCTGCACAGAAGATGCCACGAAGACCCGTCAGCCTCAACGGGTTTCAGTTTAGAGTTTAGAGTTTAGAGGATTTAGGGTTTAGGGCTTACTGTTTAGGGGCTAAGGCTTTGGGTTTAGAGTTTAGGGTTTAGGCGTTTAGGGTTTATACAGTGTAGGGTTTAGAGTTTACCTGTGACCCAAAAGACCTACCCCTTTTCAGGAACTGCATACAGAAACCATAAGAAGGACCCCTAGACACCGTAGGTCTTTTCGGCTACACGTAGGGCTTAGGACTTGGGCTGTGGATTTTAGCCAAGCCCCGCCCGGATCCTCCAAAAGCCTAAAGCCTAAAGCCAAACCCAAGACCCTAAACCCTAAACTGATTTAGGGTTTAGGGTTTAGGGTTTAGGGTTTAGGGTTTAGGGTTTAGGGTTTAGGGTTTAGGGTTTAGGGTTTAGGGTTTAGGGTTTAGGGTTTAGGCTAAACCCAAAGCCAAAAGCCTAGACCTGAACGTCTTGAAGCTCAGACAGAGTTCCGGGTTCCCCAAAGCCCTAAGCCCCTAGACCCCGAAAGGGTACTACTGCATCAGGGCTAAGGATTTCGGGCATAAGGCTCAGGGTTCACCAAGCTGCTTCAAAACATATAAATGTAACTGTACAAGATTACATTTTCAACATAGCATAACCTAGTATCTTTTAACGTAACATAACATGAGAAGTACTTTATATATATATATATATGGCAAAATATAAACCCTGAACCCTAAACCAAAAACCCTAAACCCTAAACCCTGAACCCTAAACCTTGAACTTGTGTAATATAGTATGATCTTCCTAGGGGTGTCCGCCTCAGAGCTCGAAGGCTCAGAAGAGTCATGAACTTCGAGTTCTTGCAGATCATCGAGCCGTAACCAAAGAACCTCGGTTGTTTTCTGCTGAAAGGCTTCGGAGTTTAGGAGTTTAGAGACCCTAAACCCTAAACCCTAAACCCTAAACCCTAAACCCTAAAGTTTAGGTTTAGGGGTTTGGGGTTTAGGTCCTCTCCCAGATCGCCTCCATGGACTGTTGATAGGCTTCTGTAGGGCTGCATAGCGTGCTCCAAACATGCATTTATAGGGCTCTACGAGGTTTGTAGAGAGTCTTTACATGGATCCAATGGAGATTTGTACCGGTTTACGTAGTGGTTTGCTGAGGCTGCTGAGAGTTTCCCAAGTATCCCCTGTTTCGTCTAGGGTTTGGGTCTTTTGATGCAGTTGTTGCCCCAGTATCGCCTTTCTGGCATTTACCAGGGCTTTGTTTGACTTGTATCAGGGCTTCATGAGGGGTTTAGGGTCTAGGGTTTAGGGGTTTAGGGGTTTAGGGGTTTAGGGGTTTAGGGGTTTAGGGTTTAGGGGTCTAGAGGTCTAGAGGTCTAGGGGTTTAGGGTTTAGGGGCTTAGGGTATTTGTATATCAGGGCTTTATGAGCCAGCTTCCCCTGCATCCCCTGCACCCTAAACCTTAAAGCCTAGGGCACCAAGAACAAAAGGGCATGGTGTTACTGAGAGACCTGGGAACACAGGCGCCGCCTCGCCCTTAGAAAGGAAGACCTCCATGGCATCCACCTCTGTCGATCCGAACTCCCGCCCCACTTGCTTGGAGGCAGCGGGCATCATCGCCTCAGGATTCAGGGTTTAGGCGCTCAGGGCTGACAAGGGCCCTGATTCCCCAGTATGCTCTTGATAATGACAGTAACTGTTTGTGCAATTTTGCGCAGTTTGAGTAGGATAACCCACCAAAAGTATGACACGGTAAGGTACTAAAGAAAAGAACCAAGTCGCCCCGATCCGGATGCAGTTCTCGTTGAAGTCTTCCGGAAAGTCGCCATGGAGAGCATGACTCTCCGCTATGAGGCTCGGGTATACCGCCTTGCAGGCGTAAAGATCGTACACCTCTTGCATAGACATCAGGACCTCTTTAGCTGGCTTCTTGAAGAACTCCTGGAAAGCCGGCCCGTCCTTCGTCCGCGTACCTCTTAGGATGGCCCAATGCAAGAAGTTCCAGTAGGCGAGGTTCAAGAGCCCCAGCTGTGTCGTCGGGAACCCGAAAGGTGTAAAGTAGCGGCTGGGTCTCATTCGCTGCAGTGAGAAAGACAGGGCAGGGATGCCCATCTCCCGTGCCATTGGTGGCACTGCGTTGAGGCTGACACCCCCGCAGAGGACAAGTTGCGGCTTGAAGTCTTGTAAGAGTTGGTACCACTTCTCCAACTCTTCTCGTCGCCTCCCTTTGGACATAATCTGCTCCTGCACTTTCACGATCTTTGGGATGCTCTGTTCAGTAATAGCCTCCACAAGCAGCGTGTTCGTCATGATCTCTCGAGCGCTCATCCGGGTAGCACGGAAAGGGACCTTAAAACTCTCTGCCAAGCCTGCCGCATCCACGTTCCCCGCGGTCATCACCTCGAAACCTGCTGCCTGGAGCGCTTCCCCAGCCACCATATAGGGCTGGGCATCGCCGCGGGTCCCCGAGAAGGTGATGAGAACGCGCGGTGCCATGGATCAGAGGATCAGCGGACTTAAGAAGTCGGGTTGCAACTATGGCAATTGCACTTGGAGCAGCTACCTTTTGCCCCAACCAGTGGGTTAGGGTTTAAGGTTTAGGGTTTAGGGTTTAGGGTTTAGGGTTTAGGGTTTAGGGTTTAGGGTGCCCCAACCAGTGCTTTAGGGTTTAAGGTTTAGGGCTCAGATAACTTGTCATTCAGGTAAGGATGGTAGTTACACTTGGAGCTACCCAAGCAAGGTACAAGAGCTTATCATTCAGGTAACTACACAGACCACTCCCTGAAACCCCAACTAAGGTACTTATAACCATGCCCATGTAGCACCCTAAACCCTAAACCCAACTAAGGTCCTTTTTCCCACACCCATGCAGTACCCCAAACCCTAAACCCTAAACCCAACTAAGGTACTTATAACCATGACCCATGAAGCTTCAAGTGTGGGCAATGGTTAAGAAATCCTAACTGAATCTTGCAGCTGGGTTGGGCTTGGCTGCAGATAGATTTGGGGACTTACAAATTAGAATAGTGTCTGAGGGACATTATCAATGTGTGATTCCAAAATTAAAGGGTTTTGGTATGCATTCTAGTGGAATGAAAGCAGCTTTGCTTGTTGGGAGATGTTGTGATGTAACTCTAGGGACGATAACGTGATGTTATCACCACGAAATCCGACTTCTATGATGTCTCAGATGACTTGTGGCTTTAGGACTGCTTAACTTGCCTGTGGCCATTTTTACGCCTGCTGAACTGGCCTCGTGGTAAGGAACCTAATGCAAGTGTGAGCTACAAAACCCGTACCAGCAAGTTGGTTGAAAATGTGTATAACCAGATGAAGCTCTGCAGGCTTCCTACATACACAACCGCCTTTATAAAACCTTTGCAAACCCTGACAACCTCAGCAAGTTCGTCAGCAGAGGACGGGTAAAGTTCCAGGATCATCTCATGAGCAGCGAGTTTCAACTCAGACTTCAAAGCTGCAGCACAAAATCTCTAAACCCTAAACCCTAAACCCTGAACCCTAAACCCTAAACCCTAAACCCTGAACCCTAAACCCTAAACCCTAAACCCTGAACCCTAAACCCGGTTAGGCCCGGGCATAGTTGACGATGTGATCGAGGTACGCCGTCGGTCGGCTCCTGCTCTGCAAAAAGTGGGGCCGAAAGGGCGCTTCCAGGGGTAGGGTTTAGGGTTGAGGGTTTAGGGTTGAGGGTTTAGGATTTAGGGTTTAGGGGTTTAGGGTTTAGGGTTTGGGGTTTAGGGTTGGGGTTTAGGGCATGAGGGGTATTCGGGTTTCGGGTTCCATGGTGGTGCTTTATTAGAGGTTTCAGGTTTAGGTCTCCGCGAGGGTGCGCTACGGTTCTACGCTTTCGGTGCTTGGCGATGTTGCTCGCCACGGTTTAGGGTTAAGGGTTTAGGGTATTGGGGTTTAGGGTTTAGGGTTTAGGGTTTAGGGCATTAGATTCAGCGGTTAAGTCATAGAGTGGATGCCAAGGGATCTGGGATCCCAAAATTGGACTCTGGAAATCCTGTGCAGATTTATGCATACAGGGACTATTCGAATACAGTACTAGCAATCATTTCGACCCCCCATCGCATCTCTACCTTTAGGGTTTAGTGGCTTGCGGTTCAGATTCAGTTGCACGGGTCTCGCACGCCAAGCCACAGAGTTGAATTCAACATATCAACAGGACACCCAGGCCGAACAGCCCAAACAATCAAAGAACTAGGTACTTGGGCTTCAGAGAGTCGCAAACGTCAGTTGGAGTCTTCGAGAGGTATGATTGTTGGGCACATGAACCCTAAACCCTAAACCAAAACCCTAGACCCTAAAACCTAAAAACCTAAACCCTAAACCCTAAACCCTTGGGGCTGGTTTCAGGTTTTGTGAGGTTTTCGTAGGTTGCTTTTTGGGCTTTATCGCGCCGTAGATTTTAAGGACTTGTAGAGTTCTACTCGGAAGGCGTCAACTCTTAAGATGAGTTTCGAAAGTTGGTTCTGCCTTTCGGGGTCTTTACGGTTTAGGGCTTGGGGTTTAGGGGTTTAGTATAGGGTTAAGGGGTTTAGGGTTTAGGGTTTAGGGTTTAGGGGTTTAGGGTTTAGGGGTTTAGGGTTTAGGGTTTAGGGTTTAGGGTTTAGGGTTTAGGGTTTACAACAAGGATCCTACTATGTCGCGGCCCTTATAGTAAGGATGCTATTCTTTAGAAACTCAGAGGGTGTAGGTCATAGTCCCCTGGTTTCTGAAGCCCACAAATCCTAACTAGCTCTCAGCTCTGAAGCCGTTCTTCTCTTGGGTTCTGCACAAAGTCGTCCTCTTTGGAGGCCTTGATCTTGAGATGGTAGGAGGTTTCATACTATAACTATAACCCTACAGAAGATCAGGGGCCGGTATTGACACACTGCAAAATGAGAGGGTTTCATAAAAGTGTCCCTACAGAACATGTTGTTAACTTGCAGTTTTCTACATCCTAAAGCCTAAACCCTAAACCCCTGAACCCTAAACCCTAAACCCCTAAACCCTAAACACTGACACAACGCAGGGCTTGTGGGTCCCATGCAAAATTGCTCCGGAGCTGTGGATAGGATGCGGTCGACTTTGCAAGCGGTTCTGGGCATGTTTTGCAGGACATTTCAGCTTGAAAAACGTATCAAAACAGATAAAAAGGTTTAATTTAGTCCTCCCCCCTTTCACTTCGGAGGCCTCACCCATGGCTGAAAGCTCCTCATCGGGAAGACCTCACAGCTGACAAACCCGAACACGAAACGCATGCTTGGGGATAATGTGGGAGGGTGGGAGGGGAAGGGGCGCCCTTCATAATTAGCATAGGGTTTCGGGGGCATGTTATGCCCTAACCCTAAACCCTAAACCCTAAACCCTAAACCCTAAACCCTAAACCCTAAACCCTACTGTAACTACATGGGCCTCTATCAGGGCGTGCTACTACGACTTTCCGGCCTCTAGGTGCGGGCTTGGAGTGTCCAGGTTTGAAGTTCTCTAAGGATTCAGCAAAGGAGCTATGAATATTCTATCGGGGTTTAGGGTCTATGTGTGCGGTTATTGGATTTGGGATTCAAGACTTCGGTTTAGGGTTTGGTTCTGGATTTCGATGATGCAAGGTTGAAACTTAACCGGCACCTCCGGACCGCGTTAGAAATCGAAAACCCTGAACCTGAACCCTGAACCCTAAAACCCTAAACCCTGTACCCTGCACAATTGAATTGTATCGTGGGCCGAGGCACCAATCGCAGCTCCGCTTGGGTCGCGAGGCCCTGCATCGCAAATGAACCTAAACCCTAAACCCTAAACCCAAACACCAAAGGCGCCCTAAAGCAAAACCAGAAGCCCTAAACCCTGAACCCTAAAGCCCTACTTAACCCCCTAAACCCTAAAACCTTAAAACCTGCACCGTAAAAACGCTAAACACTGGAACACTAGTAAGTAAAGGAAGAACTGACACCTCCTTTGCGAGTCCGAAGCTCATTGCGTTGGCCATCTAGGGTTTCTCCTGATAGAGAATTGGAATGGGGTGTTGGTGGGTTTCAGTATAACTATATTCACCCTAAACCCTAAACCCTAAACCCCAAACCCCTAAACCCCTAAACCCCTGAACCCTAAACCCCAAACCCCTAAACCCTAAACCCTAAACCCTAAACCCTGAGGAACAGTGGGGCGTTCATGCGGCTTTGGGGTTCTAGGGTTTTTAGGGTGCGAACGGCCTTTTTTACAAGGCACTATGAGGTTTTGCAAGGGTTTAGTGGGATTTTATACGGCTTTGTAAGGTTGTATAGACTTGGGGTCGGTCATCATTAGAATGGGTTGTACGGAATGTCGTGCTGTGGCTGTATAACCATAAGGGATACCATCGTCTACTATTCAAACCGCTTTATTGTAAGTTTAGGGTTTAGGGTTTAGGGTTTAGGGTTTAGGGTTTAGGGTTTAGGGGAGTTGTGTTGATAGAGTATTGTAAGGAGTTTTGTGCGGTAGATCAACGCCTGACCCCGTAAACACGGCCGCGCCCCGACCTCCATCCGCAGCATGGTTCCCAAGGTCGAGTTCGGAAAGGGCGGAGGATCTGGCACATCCCCACTTTTAATTTTAGGGTTCCAAAAGGGCTCTAGGAGGGTTCTAGAAGGGATCTCTAAGGGTTCTGTACGCGTTCTAGAAAGGATCTACAAGGGTAACTATAGGGATCAGTGAAGGCCCTAGGCTTCAAAAAGGCTTTGCCGCGGCCTTGTGCTTCTTGCTTCGCTTCGGTTGCTGCTCGCGCTTCTGCTGCGATACGCGCGCGCGCGCTTCTTGCGATGAGGCGCCCCAAAACCTAAGTCAAAGTACTTACTCAACCCTCAACCCGAAACCTCCAAACCTTAAACGCCATAAACACCCTAAACCCCAAACCACAAACCTTAAACGCCATAAACACCCTAAACCCCAAACCCCAAACCTTAAACGCCACAAACACCCTAAACCCCAAACCCCAAACCTTAAACGCCATAAACACCCTAAACCCCAAACCCCAA